CCAATATAGTGGTTGGATTAGTGGTGTTAAAGAGCTTGATTATCAAGCTGGGCTCATTGACCTTATTGACAGGCCATTTCGAGCTGAGTTCAGCTCAAAAATGGTATGTTAATAGGTTCATTACCAAAATCGAGCTATGGTATTGGTACGAGCTCATTACGAAAATGGCTTGTTAATTGATAACTTTATTGGATATTTAAATTAACAATAATTTTCATTAATATATTATATTAATATTGTCAATGATCTCAATTATTAATTTTTTATTATTAATATCAACATTGTGATGATTTTATATTTTATATTTAATTTTTTAATTTTGTTAAAGAATTTAGCGTTCAAGTGATCTTCATGTTTAAAATATATAATATCAAGTGATTTACATATTTTTTTTAATTCTATATATAAAATGGAAAAAATAATTTTACCTAAGTATAGAATAAAAAACTTTATTTGAAAAACTATGTATTATATAATATAATAATAATAATTCAAGTGGATTAGGTGAAATTGGGGTTGAGTCGGTCGGGTTACGGGTTACTCGGGTTCGGATCAATCGGGTTGTGGGTTGATCGGATTGCGGGTTGATCGGGTTGCGGGCCAATCGGGTTCGGGTTAATCGGGTTGCGGGTCAGTCGGGTTTCGGGTTAATCGGGTTGCGGGTCAGTCGGGTTTCGGGTTAGTCGGGTTACGGGTTGTTGACTTTTAGTCAATTCGGGTTGCGGTCGGGTTGCTGGTCGGGTTGATCGGGCGGGTTAGTCGGGTCGGGTTCTGTTTTGACACCTATAGTCTTAAGTTGCATATCGGGAACAAAAGGAAACTTGAATGGGCTCACTGACTAGGCCTGCCTTTATCAGTCCAATGCCAAAAGGGCCATACGCCATGGGCCCAGCTGATAAATTTTTAAAGACGAGCCCTATTCCTCCCATTGTTGGCCAATACTAGGGTGCCGCGGTAAAAAGTACGGTACCGGTGACGCTGTTTTTAATTCGTCCATGTGGAACAGATGTAGTGGACTGGGTTGGTTTAATGAATATTGATCCAAACTCGGTGGCCCATTAAAGTGGCCCAACCGGCCTCTCCCAAACTAACGGAGAACTCCCGTTGCTTTATTCTGTATTGTGCTTTTCATTAATTAAAGTAAATTAATATGAGTCATATGACTGATATTAGTTTTGTTTTTTCCAGAATTTGAAAACAGAAAAACAGGGATCTACCAGATGAACCATAAGCCAACTTCCTCGATCTCCCTCTCCTGCGGTCTCTAGAAAATCAATCCCGATGACTCGTCCGTCGTCGACCCCATCTCCAGGTAGTACATTTGTTTCCTCCTACATTTATTATGTAAAACGGAGCCGAAGGAATCCGACTTCTTCGTGGGCCTCTGTCTCCACCGAACAGTGTCGCCGACAAGATTGCAGACGATCCCAATCCGACAAGAAGAGAGTTGTCTTTCCCTCTGCGCCCTCCTCCTCAGTTTTCGACGTCCTTATTTCAATCGTGGAAACCAATTTCTAACCGGTGTAGAGAGAATTGGCCATCAAATCGAAAGGCTGTGTAAATGAGGATGTTGGAGAATGAGTTGGGTCGTTTTAATTCCCTGTTGCGTCTATAGTTTCGATTCATGGTTGCTGCAATGGAGGGTCGGTTTAAATGTTTCCCTTTGTATTTCTGGGTTTAGAGAGCAGTAGGGAATTGTGTGCATTGCCACTCTTCTGCTCTGTTTCTCTCCTTCCCTCTTTCGTCTTGTGCATTTGTATGTTTTATTTTCTGGGGAATGATGTAATTTGTGACGAGCTTTGTGAGGTGGTCGAGGATTACAGCCTTGTCAGTCCACGAAAGTAGCGAGATCACTCATTCATTTTGTGGTAGCGTGTTGCAGCTGAACAAACTAATGAGAGTTTCATTTTTTGTCTTTTTTGTTATTGTGTGATGCAGCTGGACAAACTAATGAGAGCTTCATGTTTTCATTGTTATTTTGTAGTCATGTTGGAAGTGAGCAGAAACTTGAATTGGCTCTTCTTCATTTTGTTTATTCCTCTTCCTTTTGTTCCTTCATGGTTTATGAAATATTGGATGATTCTGCATCTTCCAGCTAGAATTTATTTAACCTGCCACACACTTCTCTATTTCAATTTGAGTGTAATAGACCTAAATATCTATGACCACTATGTATTATGTATTGGATGATACAAAAATCAGCTTCAAGATAAATAGCAAACACCAAACTTGCTTCTCGTTAAAATGTTTAGTAAGTAAGCACGTCAACCACATTCTGATTCATAAAAAAGTCACATTCACTGGTCTTCTTGATAAAAGAAGATTGAGATCTCCTGAGCAGTAGAGTACAGTTCAAACTTAAGAGGATGTATATCAGCAACAACAATACAATCTTGGCTCTTTCTTTTGCTTGCATTTTATGGATATTATAAAGTGTATTATAGAAAAGATTTACTGCTACACAGGAATTCATGAGCTTCATCAGATGGTTCATCAGTGATCCCTAAAATCTTGTCCAAGTGTAAAAACAGACCAGCCAAATTATATACCATAATCTGTTTGCACAAGGCTAGCAGCAACCAACTGATAATATAACGACCGCAAACAACGGATTTTGACCATTCCACGTCCGATTCACCTGAAGTATAAAGATCTCAACTTTACAGTGAAGGGCAAACAATTTTCTCGAGATTGAGATTGGCTTTTTTCTCATGGTCTAATGAATGAACATCATTGGACTGAGTGTTGAACTTTTTGCATCTGACATTCATACCGGAGCATCTTTCGAATCATTGCCAAGAGGTCTCTTTAGCTTGGACAAAGGTACAGAGCTTAGACAAATAACAAGCAAACCTTTAGTTAAGTACATTCATCTGGCATTTTTGTGAAGAACTATTTTGCAGTTTTGCTTCAGTTCCACTGGTACTGTGACCAACTTTCCATCTACTATACACGGCCAAAAAAGCCTAATCATCAATGTCTAGCTTTCATCTGAAGATAAAGAGCAAACAAAGGTTATAAATAGGCTTGCTATGAGGCATGAGCTGAATAATCCACTGGAGTTACTTTTCACCACTACCCTTCCATTCCCTTGAACGCATCTCTAAATTCATTGGCTTGAAAGAATTTCATGGGTAGCAAGTTCCTGGCCATGAGCAAAAACCTGACTGCTCTCCGTCAAGCTCTATGATCACGCAAACAAGAAAACCAGAAGCAAAGTTACGACCATTCTGACAAAATCCAAGTATGAAGAATATACAAAGTTGAGCCTTTCATCCAAGCACAGCTCAAGGAGGGACTAACTCGAGCCTTTTTTGTATTAATATTCCAAACTCTGTCCATATATATTGATTACATACAGCGGGTACAATTTACAAGCAAAAGGGTGCACTGCACACAAGATAAAACAACATAATTTAGCATACTACTCAAACCAGTATCGCTGAGGTCAGAGGACTATAAAGAGTAGATTAAAAAGAAATTCAAGTGCTTATTATGATACTCAAAGCAGAAAACCCAGAGGACACAAAAACTAAACTACAACAAAGTCAATTGCAGGGGATGCTCTCGATTGGAACTCCAAAGCAAGGTTTCTGCCTTCCTCGGCTTGTTCCTCGCGGCAAGGAACCTAAGATGAACAACTATTCTCACTAATCTCTATCTCCACGAAACACTTGAGCATACTCCATAAACTCACAGGCAATTTGGTAGCCAATAAACTTCAATAAATTCACTCTAACAACATGTGGTTTCCACGTTTGCCCACCATTCCCTCATAGCAGTAAGTGTTCATCTGCTTCCTAAAAAGACAATCAGTGCCAAAGAGAGTGAGATTGAAATTTGAAAGGAAGGAAGAACCAAGCCCCAAAAACAGTGAGAAGACAACGATGGGTTCTGGTTTGCGTGGTCGTTTGTTCCTGGAGATTAGATGGGGATAAAACAAGATGTAGAGCTTTCCGTCTGTTTGGTCAGCTAGTGGTTCGGCCACTTCTTACTCGGTCAACATCTGGGCTTGGATTAAATAAATCCAATTATGCCACATCACAGTCCACGTGGACGAATCAAAAACAGCGTCACCAGTGCCGCACTTTTCACCGCGGCACTGTAGTGGTGTAGCCGACAAGGTTGCTTCTGCTGGGTAATATACTACTATGTAGGGATGATAATGAGTCGGGTCGAGAACGGATAGTGCATATTTGTTATTCTACCTAAAATAGTTCGGGTTTTACTCATACCCATACCCACATGAGAAATGGGTAGAAAATCAAAATCATGTCCAACCCGTTCGGGTTTCGGGTATCCATGGATAATAATTTCTCTTTATAACTCCAATCAATATGTTAACATTCACACATATACTCACATTGCGTAAGAGGAAAAGTACGACAATAATTCACTAGAATGAAGAAACTTAGTTAAAACAAAACAATTTCATGAAAATATTATATTTATATGCTCAATATAAAATATGTTAGAGAACTGAAATATGCGTTCTGGCCTCTCCGTAATTTTCGGAGCGGGCCTTGGATTTGCAAAACCCTAGCGCGTTCTGCCGTCGATGAGCGAGGCCATGTCGGGGGCCTCTCCCCCGGCCAGCCTTCTGCCGGACCTGACGGCTGGCCAACGGCGCCCTCCTACGGCGTCATCGTCGCCGAATGGCAAAGGCGATTCTGAAACCCAGCATGCTAAGAAGAAAGCAAGACCGATGTGTGCGAACCCTCTGTTCGTCGCTGACGAGATGGTAGAGGACGAGAACCAACCCAACGCTGCAACCACACAGCCACAGGGGCCAGACGAAACTATGAAACAAGCACCGGCCTCACCAATGGCATGGGGCAGGGGGGGCTAGGAAGCTGTTTTCGGACGTACTGACGGACGACTCCTGGTACGTTGCGGAGTCCGACTCCGAAGACGTGGCAGCGGCCATGAGAGAGGATGATTTGGACGATGAGATCTCGGAGGGCGACGACCCACGGTGCCCTACGATACCCTTCACGTCCATGGAGAAGCAACGCTACCGAAGGAAGTGGCGATCGGCGCTTATCGTGAAAGTTCTGGGACGTACTTTCCCGTTCCCGGTCATATCTAGGAGACTGGAGACTTTGTGGGCTAAAGTTGGATCGCTGCAGATCTCGAGCTTATCGTATGGGTACTATGTGGTGAGGTTCACCCACCAGATGGATTTTGAACAGGCAAGACTTGGCGGGCCATGGCTTATTGGGGAGCACTACATCACTGTTCGCCCATGGAGGAAGAATTTCGACTCCAGTATGGCGGAGGTCGCGTCCACACTTGTTTGGGTGAGACTACCAGAGCTACCCGTGGAGTTTGTGAACCAGGAGGCGGTAGAACGGATTGCCTCTAGAATTGGAAGACCTGTGAAGGTTGACAGAGCTACCATGGCGGGGGATAGGGTCAAGTTTGGACGAGTTTGTGTTGAAATTGACTTAAACAAGCCACTGTTATCCATGTATAAGATCGAGGGCAAAACGTATTACATCACGTTTGAAGGGCTTCATAATATCTGTACGGAGTGCGGGAAGTATGGTCACTCTACCAAATCATGCCCTCTTCTCCGGAAGGAGCAGCCTAAGCAAACACAGTCGGAGCCAGTGTCGGATGAGATGGACAAGAAGAAGGCTGTTTATGGGGAATGGATGACGGTCAAGTCACGGAATGAGAAGAGGAAGAATTCACAGGGAAGGGAGGCGGGAAATGCGGGCAAGTTCAATGTTAGTAGTGGGATGGGAGAAGGGGGCTCTAGGTTCTCAGTTCTCGACCAACAAGAGACCCCGTCTGCTATGGAATCGGAGTGTGAAACTAATACAGGGACCCAGGAACCACACCGTTGCACGAATGGGGATCCACCTGAACGTCGCTCAGCCGACACCCAGGACAGAGGCAACGGTAGTGGAGGCGATACACCTCCCGATACTCAAACAGTGGCTCGGTCCACGCCAACCCCTACTACTAAAGCAGTTAAGCAACCTCTCCACCATTCTGCCCCTAGCAGGATAAGCGCGCGCACAACGACACCAGTTACGACCCAAGTCACGTCCAATGGCAGTGGGATGAAGAATGGGGATATGACGGCTCCAAGGCAAGAACTAGTTGATGTTCCGGTGGCACTGGCGGACGGAACACGTGCGACTCGAACCCCCATTGTGCCTGATAAACCCAAGCAGCCAAAGGACCCTGGCAAGCGAGGGAAAGGGTCGGGGAAGCAGGAGCACAGCAGAACTAATGCGGGTAAAGGCAGCAAGATAGAGGCGAGCGCGGGAAAGACCACGGGGATAATCATCCCAGTGGGTTCAGAGATCCACCAACCTGCCCTGGTGGACACTCGAACGAGTGTGATTCCGACAAGGGGAGACAAGCTCCCGAGTGACTTGGCGCAATAGTTGCGCCTGTGCTTCTAGCCAGGGAAGTGTTGTTCCTGTTTTGCGTGGGGCTGGAAGTGTATTTCGTTTCTTTAATTTAGTGTCATGTTGAATATCTTAGCTTGGAATTGTCAGGGGGCGGGTAGTGAGAGGTTTTTAACTTTCTTGAGTAACTTTAGAACGGCCACTAAGCCGGACATTGTGATAGTTGTTGAACCACGTATTAGTGGAGCGACGGCTCGCACAGTGATCCGGCGAACGGGCTATGATGGACGGTTGATCATGGACGCTGTTGGTTTTTCAGGAGGTATCTGGGTGCTGTGGAGCAGACAGGAGCTTGAGGTCGAAGAAGTCACGTGTTGGGAGCAGATGATTCATGTCAAGGTTTGCAAAAGGCAGAAACCGGAGGAAGTGGTGGCAATTTCTGCAGTTTATGGGAGCCCGAATGCAGCCAGCAGACAAGATCTTTGGGAAGAGATATGTCGACTAGCAGAAGGCTGTGAGATACCGTGGGCCCTGGTGGGCGACTTCAACTCGATCCTAGGACCTCTGTACAGGTGTGGTGGGGTAAATTACCAAGCCGCGCGCTGCCGACCTTTCAGAAACTGTGTTGATGCGAGTGGGCTTCTGGAGATCGACTTTACAGGGCCAAGGTTCACTTGGAAGAGGGGCAACTTGAAACAAAGGCTGGATCGTGCGCTGTGCAATGAGAGGTGGATCACACAGTACCCAAGAACCATAACTCGACATTTGGAAAGAGTGGGTTCGGACCACAGACCAATCCTATTGGAAGGTGCGGGTGGGAGGGACTCTCGACCAGGACCTAGACCGTTTAGGTTCTTGGCGGCGTGGCTAGGACACGATGATTTCGATAGAGTCTTGTCTGAAGGCTGGTCAAGGGGTGGGAACTTCACTCAATCCACTACCGCTTTGACAAAGGAATTGCAGCACTGGAATTGGAATGTTTTTGGGCACATACAACGAAGGAAGAGGCGCCTAGTGAATAATTTGAAGGCAGTGGAGCTGAGTAATGAGAGGGGAGCTACGGCAGCATCACTTGAGCAGGAAGCCAGCCTGCGAAGTGAGCTAGAGGAGACTCTAGTGCAGGAGCACCTCCTTTGGCTCCAGAAATCTCGCTCCCAATGGACGGTTCAAGGGGACCGGAACACCCGGTTTTTCCATCTCATGACTCTGAAGACGAGAAGTTTCAATAGAATCCGAGGTCTCAAGAATGGAGAAGGTGCTTGGGTTTATGAGGAAGCTCAACTCCGCAAAATGGCACGGGATTTCTACGTGGAGCTGTTCCAGGGTGAGGCAATAGATCAGTCGTTGCTCCCTATGAAGTTTGAGGCCATTGACCCAGCATTTTGGAGCAGTTTGGAGGGAGAGGTGACTCGCGAGGAGGTTTGGAACGCAGTGAAGAGCATGGTTGGGTTCAAGGCTCCGGGGAAGGATGGATACCCTCCTCTCTTCTATCAAAAATGCTGGGGAGTAGTGGCTGAATCCTTCGCTGATTTTGTGCGACATTTGTTTGGGCAGCCGGACAGCATAGTTGAGGTGAACGAAACTCTACTGGTGCTAATTCCGAAGAAAGAGAGTCCTGAGCTCATCAGCCAATTCCGACCAATAGGCCTATGCAATGTGGTGTACAAGTCTTTGGCCAAATGCCTGGTGAACAGAATCAAACCGCTGATGCGGGGACTGGTTCATCCCACCCAGTCGAGCTTCGTTCCTGGTAGACACATCAATGATAACATTATCATCTTGCAGGAAGCAGTCCATTCGATGAGATCTAAGCAAGGGAAGCGGGGATGGATGATCTGGAAAATAGACCTCGCTAAAGCTTATGATCGGGTGGACTGGCACTTTTTGCAGGAAACTCTTCAAGGAGCGGGCTTTCCAACGCACCTGATCAGGGTTATCATGAAATGCGTCTCAACTACGACAATGCAGGTCATGTGGAATGGGTGTGCTACGGAGGTTTTCAAGCCTACGAGAGGATTGAGACAGGGATGCCCCCTATCTCCATACCTTTTTACCCTTTGTATGGAGCGACTCAGCCATACGATCATGAATGCAGTCAGTGGTGGAGTATGGAAGCCGGTGATTCTAGCCCCAGGTGCACCCCCTCTGTCTCACTTGTTTTTTGCTGATGATCTGATCTTGTTTGCAGAAGCCAGTACAGGGCAGAGTCGTGTTATTATGGACTGCCTGGATCAGTTTTGCAAGGCGTCGGGGGAACAAGTCAGCAGGGACAAGTCGGTTATGTTCTTCTCAAAGAATGTATCGAGACAGGCAAGCAGTTCCATTGCCCGAGAGACGAGGATCCCTGTCACGCAGGACCTGGGACGGTATTTAGGTGTGCTAGTGCTCCATGGTCGGATTACAAAAGATACCTACAGGTACATTCTAAACCGAATGGACAAGAAGCTGGCGGGATGGAAGGCCGACACCCTTTCCTTTGCTGGTCGGGTAACCTTGGCGGCCTCGGTGCTCAACACCCTGCCGACGTATGCTATGCAATCCACTTTGCTACCAATATCCATATGCGACGAAATCGACAAGAGGATACGTCAGTTCATCTGGGGATCATCAGCGACTAAAAGAAGGGCGCATTTGGTTCATTGGGAAGCTGTATGCAAACCAAAGAACGAAGGGGGTCTGGGGCTTCGGAAAGCTCATGAGCTTAACATTGCGTTTCTAACTAAACTTGCTTGGTTATTTGTTAAGAAACCGGATGAGCTGTGGGTGCAGATTTTGCAGGCAAAGTACTTCAAGAATGTCCAAGGTCAGCTGGTGTTGAAATCCAGTGCTCGGAGTTCTACTGTATGGAGGGGGATGCGAAGAGCTTGGCCGGTGATGACGGAGGGCATGCGGATGAGCATCAAGGACGGTTGCACCACGTCCTTCTGGCTTGACCGATGGGTGGATAGTGGAGAGATTCTCCTTGACCATGTTAGTGATGGGAACACGCCGATAGACCCGCATGCCCCAGTAGCGGACTTCACCACGGCGGAGGGCGATTGGGACACTAACCTGCTTCGGCTATATCTCCCGGAGAGTGTTGTTTTGCAGGTGCAGGGTATCCAACCACCACGGACGGGTGCAGGAGAAGACGTGGCAATCTGGGGGCCGGAGACGAATGGCAAATTCCGTGTCCGATCGGCGTATGAACTGGCGTCCAATCAGGACAACCCGAGAAGGACCTTTGAGTGGAAAGACATATGGCGATGGGAAGGACCAGCTAGGGCGCAACACTTTCTTTGGCTCGCGGCAAGAGAGAGGCTCATGACGAATGCAGAACGAGGACGGAGACACCTGACGGACCAGACCATGTGTCCCCACTGCTCTTCACACCCAGAGACAGTCCTGCATGTGTTGCGGGACTGTCAATTTGCCAGGTTAACTTGGATGCGTTTGCTCCAACCTTCTGACTACCAGCAGTTTTTCGGATTACCCCTGCAGGATTGGATCGCTCGTTACTTGAAGCACGATCAGTACAGCCTCATGTTTGGCCTCGTGTGTTGGTCCCTTTGGAGGACCAGAAATGACCGAGTCTTTGCGAACAAGGTCATTACAGTTGCAGGCTTCCTTCAGTGCATCCATGCATGGTTAACTGTCGTGAGGACTGCTTTGGACAAGGACAGGAGAACCCACTATCCTGATCCGCCCGCAAGAACGGAGGAGCTGATCGCTTGGACGCCGCCTCCTCCCGAGTGGGTCACTCTCAACTCAGACGGCTCCGTTTTGCCTGAGACAGGTCTTGCTGCTGCAGGAGGCCTGATCAGGGATCACCTAGGGCGCTGTATGGCAGCGTTCGCTATGAACCTGGGAATTTGCTCCATTACCCGGGCAGAGTTGAGAGGCGCTGTTGAAGGACTGCAACTGGCTTGGGACATGGGTTACAGACATGTCCGCATGGAACTTGATTCCCGGTGTGCTATTCAGCTGATTCAGGGAGAGGATACTTCAGATCACCAGCACGCGGCGATCATCGACCGTTTCCATGAGCTGCTTCGGCGTGACTGGGATGTTACAGTTTCCCATATCTATAGAGAGGGGAACAAGAGCGCCGACTACCTTGCTTCTAGAGGTCATCAGTTGGACATTGGCTTTCATTTTGTACCTGTTACTGATCCTGCTTTATGGTTTTATCTCTTGTATGACATTGAAGGGGTTTCCGAATCCCGGCTGGTTTTGAATGAAGGTTAGGATGCTTCGCATCCATTTATCAAAAAAAAAAAAAAATGTTAGAGAAAAGTAATGATTATTTCTAGACAAAATACATATTCATGTGTATAATCGGGCGGGTTCGGGTTGGATAGTGAGAAACTCATGCCCACCCATTACTCGCAATTTTCGAGTTCGGATTTTGTCCGTACCCACTAAAAGTCCTTCAAGTTCGGGTTTTACCCTACCTGATTAGATCGAATTCGAGCGGATATCCACGATTACGGATATTTTTGTCTCCCTAACTATGCGTTGGTTCCTCACTTCTTGTAGGGAGACCTTTTTTTTATAGAAACTTTGCTGATTTTATTTAGATAGAGAATGAGCCATTACAGTCATGAGCAAGAATGGAACAGACAAAAATAGGAGGTTTGGTGACCCATGTCTCGTGGGCCTGTAGGGAGACCCTTTTGTTCGTGATGATTCCGAAAGGTCGATTCAAGTTTGGTTGAAATATATTGTGTTTGCTAATAAGGATCGTGTTGATTTCAAGAGAAGCTATATCGGTCACAAAAGCCTCTAATATCATATAAAAAACTATGCTTAAACTTATTGCATTTGGTAAACCCGTGGAAAAGTCTCTAAAAGTTGTGTATTTTTTACCTTTTTAGATAAGGGTGAAATAAGTTGATTTTATAATCAAGTGCTACTAAAGAAATAGAAAATTTTGACTTTCAAATTCAAGATCAGTGATATTACCATTAGACTAATTTATTGTTCGTTTTTTACTTTGATTACTCATTTTCTTAATATGATTTTGGGTATGGAAATCAGAATATTTGCCACTTCTC